GGTCTAAAGTTTAAACACCTTAAGCACAAGTTTAAGTTTAAGTATCTTAAGCACAAGTTTTTGTTAATTGCAAACATGAACGTCAAATAAGGCCATGATCCATAGATAAGTTTGAAACAAAGTTTACATGAAACAAAGGAGAGGAAAGTAGATGTAAGAGTTGACTTCTATTAGAAGTAATCTTACTTTATTGTTTAATCTTACTTTTATTCATGTCTGAAGAAGTTATCTGGTCTAGCTTGAAGAAAGAGGTGGGATACTCTGTTCATGTCGGAAGAAGTTATCTGGATCAACCTTTGTTTTAATCCTCACCAATCTGCTAAAATTGTCTTTGTAGTACTTAGCTCCCCAGATTTGAGCTTCTATGAAGTTAACCTTTGAGTTGTTCTTGTTCTTGTTCTCTCCCAGGTCTAGATCTCTGTAGTTTACATATGCTTGTCTTGGATTGCTTGAGACATAAGGTGTCATGTAACTGTACAGTTCTCTGATCCATTTCATGCGTTTGTTCGGTCTCTTTTCGCTATCTGTCCAGCTCCTGTAATATTGAATCATGAAGATGGTTCCGTTTCTATGCGGAAATGGGATCTCAGATTCGGGGATTTTGTCCATCATTCCACCGTAAGGAGTCCAAATCACTAACGCTGCGTCTTCTTCAAGCAATTTCTTGAACATTCCTTTGAGCCCTAAAACAGGAATAGGTTCTTTTGCGAAATCCGATTTCGCTTTGAAGTAAACTTCTCCGAGAGGTGATTTCGCTTGAAGCAAAACATCGGTAGGAGGAGGCGAGCTTGTCGGGTATCCAGAACTGTAAACAATGGATTCGATCCAGCTCATTTCTATACAATCCTCCAGAGTTAGCCCTAGTTCCGGAAAATCTTTCTTCATAACTTTCATCAAGGTGCCTTTCTCTCCAAGAAACTGACCTATGTACGACATGGTCACAGTCTTGGTCCCATTGTTTCGAGCTACGCTTAAGAACACTCGTAAGAAGAGATCTTCAACAAGCTTGTCCGCAACTCGTTGCCACTTTGAAAGAATCTTGAATCCTGCATCTTGTTCTAATGTTTTGCTTACCGTAAAGACGGTTAGGGTTTCAGGAACCGGAACAAGCTTGATCTTCCATGATAAAATTATCCCGAAACTCCCTCCACCGCCTCCTCTAATCGCCCAAAATAAATCTTCCCCCATCGCGGTTCTGTCGAGTAATTTACCATTACCATCGACCATCTTTGCGTCTAGAACATTATCCGCGGCAAGACCAAACTTCCTCATCAAGGAACCGTATGCACCACCAGTTATATGCCCACCTATGCCTAAGCTCGGGTACACACCCGCAGGGCATCCATGGATCTTGCTCTTCTCTGCAATTCTACACAGTTAACAAACCAAAGATTCAGTAGTGAAATATTGTTTACTCTTGTTACAATTGTTTCATTGTTTGGTTTTCCAAATGATCCACAACCTTTAGCATTTTTTT